GCCATTACTGTGTCGACGTTCTTCTCTCTACTCAAAGCTCCACAAGAAGGCCTCATTTAAGACTAGCTTCTAATGGACTAAATGATAACGTAGGAATAATGATATAATAATAACAGGATTGTTTCTTCGTTACAGTGGCGCTATCTTAAAGTAAGACGACATAGCGGCTTCATCTATTTGACGAATAAACATCTCAGGGGCTGTGATATTTGCCATAACACATTATCGAAGGATAAAACATTTTTAGTTCTGTCAGTAGCACTGCCGTCTTGATTTGAACAGAAATTTCCCACCGCTTGACCTCGAGTCACATGAGAACCCCCCCCCCCCCCAAAAAAAAAGCCTAAAATCCTGTGCCTACTTCGGACATTCCCGTCAAATCGCTATAATTTGATATGCTTATTGCATTTGAGGACGACCGGATATTCTTACAAGGCAGGGGAAGAGCTACAATTGCTACAACTTGTTCAGATCCTCCTTCCTGAATCAAGTAAATATGTTTGATTTTTTTTGGGTCATGCTTTTGATGAAAAAAGTGGGCAACAACAAACCAGAAGGCTTACTCACGTGGCATGTTTGGTGTTAGACCTTTAGACTTTAGACCCTTTCTGTGCACAAGGAAAGTGATATGTGCAAATGGACTTCCGGGTCAAATTTGCTGAACAAAGCAAAGTTTAATGTGATAGTGTGATACTTATTTATGTAGTATGCAATGGCAAACGTCATTTCCCGACCCAACCCGACCCGACCCGTCCTGTCCGATCTGATCATGCCAATCGGCTCTATTTGACCAATGGGCATCCTGCTGAGATCTCAACTGGCTCGTATACAGTTTAGCAACACACTTGTAATGAGTAGTCATAACGTGTTGCTACATGTGAAATTGCGCTCTTTCCAAAGCCGTCTCTTAAGAGCAACAGTACTTAAAGACACTTAAGGTTGGTAATGAGGATAAGATGGGCGTTTAAGGCTAGTGGGGGAAGAGGTGGGAGTGTTTTTATAGTTGAGGGCTAGCTGAAGCAAACGTCGGTCACAAAGTATTTGTTTGTTTAAGATTAAAAACTTTTCCGTGTTTGTAATTCTTTGTTATACCACGAAGAAAAGACAGGAAGAAAGACAAACAGACACAAGACATGCATATTATATATACACATGCTGACACACAGGGTTACGTAGATAGATAGATAGATAGATAGATAGATAGATAGATAGATAGATCACA